ACAATAGTGATCTATCTTGCTCTGACCTTTTTGGCAGTCTGTTTTGACTGACCTGTCTTAGCATCCCTTGTGACAGACCTGCAGGGAAAGAGGTAGGTTGATGAGCCACAGCAGACTCAGACAACTAGAAAGGTCGTTGTAACCTAGTGTGCTGAATATAAAGGCTATTTACATTCTCATGACTCATTCTGCAGTTTGAGAAGCTGACAGTCGTGGAGTTGGGGTAGCTCAGGAAGGACAGCCTGTGCTCCTGAAGATACTGGTCCTGGATTACGCACATGGCTCTGTCTCTGACCTTTCTGCTTGACCCTGGGCAGGTCGCTTGGGATTCGGTCCAGATACCATGGAGGTCTAGTGGCAAAACTCCAGGTAGCCTCAGTAGGAACAGGACTGAGTCTTTGTCCTTGGCACTCTCTGCTTACTCCGTTTTGCACATAACAAGGTGCCCACTTACCAAATGCTGTTTTCTCTAATGGAGTGCCTGTTAGTGCAAATGGCTAATGGCTTCTAGTGACCTTAGAATATATATTATATATATTTTATTTTTTTTTTTAATTGGTCTTCTGGGTCAGGACAGGAGGGTGCTTAGCGGTCTTTGTTTTGAAGGGAGGGGACTGCCATCACATTATACTCATTTGTTCAGTGTTTATGCGTTATACCAGATTTAAATAGAAACATTGTGATTAGGAAAGCTGTTTCATGTCTCTGCAATTACTTTCTGTGCTGTAAAATCATTCTTCCAGACTGTTGTTCTGTAGTGGCTCTCACCATGTCCTTTGCACAGGTGACCTTAGACAACAGCAGCAGGTAAAGAGTGATCCCTGTCTTCTCTTCTGCTCAGGGAAAGAACACCACAGCCAGGATCTGTTATTACTGCCTCTCTCTTCTCCCCCCGCCCCTTTTCTTTTTGGGGACATGTGTGTTTGTGTTTGTTTTGTTTTGTTTTTTAACCTGAGCTGTCTTTTGACAGCACTGCTAGGTGGACATATCCTGAAGCTTTTGGTAGCTTCCCTTTCTCCAAGTCAAAGGTGCTCCCTTCCTTTCATGCCCCCCTCGGTGTTGTACTTGACTCGTCTCATTCAGGGTTAAGTTGGTATTTCTGCTTAAAACTGTTATGTGTATCTATGTCCACACCTGCATGCATCTGCATGGAAACTTAGGAGTTCCAGTGTGAAACTAGTTTCTGTACATGAATGGGAAACATTCTTAAATGTGTTTTGAAGTATACTGATGTGCACTAGTTTATTCTGAGAACTTCACATATGTAAAACGTCTTGCATGTGTAGCACTACAAAACCTGAATGAATTGTCACTTGACAGTATAGAACTGCAGACAGTGGAGTAAGCAATGAGATCCTATGGTGTGGGACCACTCAAAACAGGGTAGAATCATAAAAGGACTGTAAGGAATAAGAGGAAACCTCAATCACTTTCTTCATTGCACTCTGAGACCAAATTCTGGTCTGCATTATCTCTTGTGCAGCGTAATGGAACTTAGTTCTTAAGTGGTAGACCTTAGTAGGGACTGACTGTGTTAATTTACATCACCCTCTCCCATTCTGCCTGAGGATTATCTGCTGTGTCCTTCTGTGTTCTCATACTAGCAGATGATGCATTTAAATGACAGGTCGAACTGAAGTGTGGAAGATGCTTAAGCTAATCCAACATTGTGAGGTATCTCTGCAGGTGTTTTATAGCTCTAGCATGGAAATGCTAAAGATTTAATTGACTGAGTGTGTAACAAGAACAGGAAATGACACAATGGCAGTTCATTTTCTCCAAGAATACAGTGGGAACACAGGCTGCAGCAACCTTAATTAGATTTTCAGCTAAACATTTTTAGCAAGGATGGGAAGTTCAGCTAATTGAATCTGTTCTTATTTCCATCCTCCTGTTTGTCATTTTGTGCTCTTCATTTTGGGAGATATCTCAAGAAACAGCTCATTGTTCTCTGCGTATGTGATGACAGATGGTAGGCAACATGCTGATGTGCAGGGTAGCTACACACAAGCCAGAAGAGCTCCCACCTGTCTTCATTATAATGAAACTGAACTGGATCCACTCCAGTGACTTATGACTGCCTTCCTTTTCCCCTCTCCTCCCAGTTTCCAGCCACTTTAATATCAGAATAAGTTTGTTGTGTGTTAATAATGCCCCAAATGCTTATATGCTGTGGCAGTGAACTGTAGAAAGTCTAAAAGAAATGTGGTGTTCTGCCCTGAAGAGGTGCAGGCCTAAATAATCATCAGTTTGTAGCATCCCTGCAGTTAGTACTATATACTAGTGTGATTTTTTTTTTTTTTTTTTTCCCCCTCCTCCTTTTTTTCCTGCATGTGTCTGGCTGATTGAGTACCAGTTAATGCACAGGTATCTTGTTTTGGCACCTGTTGATCTACTAATTTCAAATGTGAGTTCTCCCCCAGAGGGTGATAGTGAAAACTTTTAAAAGAAAGAGGATGTCAAAGTCACAATGTGAAAGTTAGCACTTAAAGGTGCTTTGTAGGTTAGAGATGTATTGCTGTGGCACCTCCCTAAACTAGAAAGTCCTGTCACAATTTACCTGCATGCTGCATATGTTCCCAGGTCCAGGCAAAGCTGATGGTAGATACATAGGCGGTAGGTCTGTACTGGCTGGAGGATTACTGTCTGAACCTTGGAGTAAATGTTTTGGCAGTTTCTGTAGATCTGGATGATATGACACTCTGAGGAAATATTTCCTAGATGTTCTGTAGTTCAGGCTGTTTTGGATGCTAAACTCACCAGTTTTAAGAGTCCTTCTAGTTAAATTGATTCTAGAAACACTCAAGAAAGGACCTTCTGAGAAAATTGGGCTTTCTGCCTGCCTGTTTCTCAGAATATCTTAAATGAAGCAAATGGTTAGCTTTTAGTTAGAAACTTATTTTGAGATACACATGTAGTCTGCTTCACGTTCTTTAGAAATCTGCATAATTCATGTTTTTTTGAAAAAGCTTCTTGTGGTGTTATGCCAAATGGTCTTTTACAAATTCCCATAACCTGGGAAGAAGGTACAAATATGAAAAGATCTGCAGATTCCCAAGAGGTCTTTGCCAAGTACAGAAGCTTGCTAGATTGCTTAACTGAGCCATGCTTGTGACTCTCAAGTCTTTAATTTATCATTAAAGGAAGGGGTTGCATTCAAAGAGCAAATAGCAGATTTGTGCCTCTTAGGGTAGTTTGTGATTTGTGCTTTTTTGGGAAAGGTGGAGAGAAAGGAATACCAACTGAACGCACCCAAAGTAGAGTTGACTTTTCAAAGTGGACATTCAGTCCCCTCTGAAGCAGGATCCACTGAAGGAGTTACAAGCTGGGTTCCCCAAAGCTGAGATGGCAAGCATTTAGTAATCTCCATTTAAGTTTTTTAAAAAGCAAGTTCAGGTTGTAGACTGCCAGTGTCAGAGGGAGGTTTGTAGGTTATGGGCAAACTGTGGCAAAGCATGACTTTAGGTAGCTTTGACAATATATCTGAAACTCTGGTAATCACTGTTGCTCAAACCTAGGGCTTCTCCTTAGTTACTTATGAAGGGAGGATTTGCGAGAGGAGCAGAATATGCATGCTAGTCTACTGCATATGTTTCATTCATGTCAGAACTTGAACCTTTAGAGTTGTAGGGGAGTTAGTCAATACTTTTATTCTTATATACTTTTGAGCAAATAAACTATTTATCATTGGGTCAACTGAAACTAAGGGAATTCAGGTCAAAGGCAGCTCACAGGAGCAAAAGAGGGAAAACTCTTCATTTTGGTATTTTTAGATATTAAACATCTTTGACTCTGCTTTGAAAAGACAGGGGGGTTGGGTGTGTGTTTGAATGCATTAGAACTTGACAAAGAAGAACACTCCAAATGGAACAAGTCAGTGCTTTTGGTTTCCAATTGGGTAAGAAAAGACTCAGGTATTTGTTTTCTGTTCCTTCTTACCTTGCACACGTTTGTCTCTATGAGAGGAAGTTAATGTAATTCCAAAAGGGCTCCTTCGGGTGCAATGTAGACAGTTGGAGAACTAAGACTCTTAAGATCTGGCACAGAATGTTTTGCCATAAGCAAGTATGTCTACACAAATGCAAAAATAGAGTCTGTAGGTACAGGTAAGTGCCTCATGATATGTGACCTAATGAAGTGTTGCAAACCTTCAGGGAGCCTGCAGTTGGACATGGGCTGAATATCTCTGATCAGGAATGAGTTTCCTGATAACTAGCAGGATTTGCTTAAAGGGCTTGTGGTTACTAGGTGTTCATTAGATGCTGCAGCCCTTCTCTGATAAGGAGTAGAGAGAGAAGTCACAGCTCCAGGCACTGTTTGGTTTGGTCACCAAATAAAAAAAAAAAATCGGTATCCGAGCACTGAGTCAAAAGCATCTAAAATACTATCCTAATTAGTGATTTATTTTAATATTAAAAAAGTGCTGTTATTCTGTAATCAAAGTACAGCTTAGTCATAGTTCTAGCACATGCTAATTCAGGTGTAAACCAAACTCGGTGTACATTTGCTTTTGTCTACACCAGTTATAGTTGGAGGGAGCTAACATGACAGGGCACACTGTACTGTAGAGGAGTCCACAGACCAAAACTTGACTAACAGAAAGTGGATTATGAAACCACTTTTCTGGCAACTTGAATATTAAACAGAAGGTAAGTGACTGAAATGTAATGCTTATCATGCTGAGTTGAAGGACCACTAGTGATCTGTGAATCCCATCTTTATGCTTTTCACATTCATGCATGCACACAGAGGGCTAACAGTTGGGAAGTATTTTGTGAAATTTCAATTAAAAGGCCATTCTTAACAGTATGTGAAAAAATATGCCAGCTTTCTTTAGAGAGTAAAAGTGCTTCACAGAGTTGTGAAATGCTCCTTGATTACTGTATGCAAGTGTTATCTTACTGAAAGTGATACAACCCTTCTGGAACGTTACTCCTTTGAATACCAATTTTGGTTCCATTGTTCCCTCTCACTTTTTATTTTTTTTTAATTTTCCTCAGGGAGAAGTGTCTCCTTCCTCTCCAACTGGCTCTGGAATCGAAGAGCATGAAGCTGGCCCAACAGGCTCTAGCAGGGATGCAGGTATGCCTTCAGAGTGGGTGTGTGTTAGTAGGCAGTGGATGCCAAGGAAATCTATGCTTTTCTTTTGAAAAATACTACAGAAAAAGTGTCTGTCCTTGGGTGGACTTAAAAATAATGTTCATGTTTCTGTAACAGTGTTCAGAAGTTAGGATGCAAGTAAAGGCTGGTGATTCTGTAGAAGCTAGAAATGTTCTGCAGATAGGTGGGAGTTCCCAGCTTTAAATGTTGAAATGGAGATGTACTCTTTCTTGTGTATCCCTGGGCTACTTTTACTAAGCCTTGCCACTGCTAAGCATCTTAGAAAGTAAACTGAGTCAAGCCTTGCTTTTTTCTTTGATTAGAAGAGAGGACTGCAGTGCTTGAAAGATAGAGAGGTTAATAAAGGATCCGGGAGCTGCATTCTCTATGTATGGGCACTTGTACACTGAAAACAGTAGGAGTAGCATCTGATTTGGAAGTTTATGAAATTGCAGAAGAAAACAACAGAGCAGCACAAGCAACAAAAAGACTCTCTTGGGTTTGACAGTATAAAAACTAAAGCAGTTTACCCTTCTTTTAATTGGACAAATGAGTACATATCAGTAAATACTTATCACTAGGGGGATGCTAGTTGTGGAAAAGGCTCATACACTGCTGGGGCATAAAATGCATGCCACCAATTTCCAAAAAGAAATTTCTCCCTCACAGGCCAAGCCTGAAGTTGTTTTGGGAGTATAAGGATGTAAGTGGATCATTCAAATTCACTTAATTCAGTATGTGAGGTGTCAGGCATTTGGTCAGAGAGTGCCCAATATTGGGGCACAACATGGAGGCTCTGGCTAAGGAAAAAAGGTACTTTCTGAAGGGTTCCTGTAACTGTTGGGCTCTGTCAGAAGACATGTATCACCTTCTTGCGGCGTAGTACTCTGGTCCCACTCTGAGATCCTGTGCCCTGTGTTTCAGATATATGAGAGGTGGCAGGGGGGTTGCTTTTAAAGTGAAAGCAGCAGTAAACAGTGGGACTTGAACATACGTCTGCTCTTCTACTGGTGTAGGTATGCCAGTTAGAAGAACATTGTAGAGTGATGATCAACCAGGAATAGTGGAGGAATTATGAATGGCCCACTCTCCAGTTTATTATAACTTCCTTGGGAACACTCAGTGAAGATAAATTTTATCTTTTTACTCTTCTAACTTGCTGCACGTACACTTGAGTTCTGCAAGAAATGGAATTGCAAAGTTGCAGATTTGCAGCCTGCTACCTTAAATAAGAGTGTTACCTCCTATCTAGAAGCCTAAAAAGGTAATCCAGGCAACAATACAGTCCTTCATCTGCATTTATGATATGTGAAATTTTATGAAGGACAAAAAGGAAACCACACAACTGATGCTATGGAAGTAGGTTAAAAAATAGGAAAAAGTAAAAAATGAGGTGAAGTACAACTTGAATTTACTAAAAGTAGGTCACAGGATCACATGATGGTGGAGGTTAGCAGGGACCTCTGGAAGTCATCTGGTCCAACCCCGCTACTCAGGTAGGGTCACCTACAGCAGGTTGCCCAGGACCATGTCCAGATGGCTTTTGAATACCTCCAGGGATGGAGACTCCACAACCTCCCTTGGCAGCCTGTGCCAGTGCTCAGTCACCCTCACAGTAAAGTGTTCCTGATGTTCAGAGAAAACCTCCTGTGTTTCAGTTTGTGCCCATTGCTTCTTGTCCTGTCACTGGGCAATGCTGAAAAGAGCCTGGCTCTGTTCACTTTGCACCCTCCCTTCAGGTACTTATGTACATTGATGAGATCCCCCCCTAAGTGTTCTCTTCTCCAGGCTAAACAGTCCCAGCTCTGTCAGCCTTTCCGCTGAGAGATGCTCCAGTCCCTTCATCATCTTAGTGGCCCTTCCCTGGATTCTCTCCAGTAACTCCATATCTCTCATACCAAACTAAACATTCTCCTTTATATAGAAAAACATATTTTCCTTGTACATTGAGTTAAATCTCATCAGGCTGTGCAGTGCTAAAACACTTGATATACTACTATGTGGGAAATCCTTTAAAATGTTGTTGCGGGTTAACCCTGGCCGGCAGCTCAGCCCTACCCAGCCACTCACTCAGTCCCTCTCAGTGGGATGCAGGAGAGAATCAGAAGGGTAAAAATGAGAAAACTCATGGGCTAAGACAAAGTTTAATAGGGAAGGCAAAGCTGCATGCGCAAGCAAAAGAATATAAGGAATTCATTCACTACTTTGCATTGGCAGGCAGGTGTTTAGCCATCTCCAGGAAAGCAGGGCACCATCATGTGTAATGGTTACTTCGGAAGACAAATGCCTTAACTCTAAATGTCCCCGTCCTTCCCCTTCTTCCTTCTTTCCCCAGCTTTTGTTGCTGAGCACGGTGTCATATGGTATGGGATATCCCTTTGGTCAGTTGGGTAAGCCATCCCAGCTTTCTCCCCTGCCAATCTCTTGTGCACCCCCAGCCTACTTGCTGGGGGGCCAGTGTAAGAAATGGAAGGCCTTGATGCTGTGTAAGCTCTGCTCAGCAATAGCCAAAACATGAGTGTGTTATCAATGCTGTTTTGGTCACAAATCCAAAATACAGCACCCTATGAGCTCCTATGAAGAAAGTTAACTGTGTCCCAGCCAAAACCAGTACAAGTGTACAAAATAAGAAGTAGGAACGAACCAGTGAAATGTGCTACAGAGCTGAAGCTGGGAAGGAACATCAGTACAGAAGCAGAATGTACAGGGCGAAGTGGGCTGCTCAATGTCTGCACTGGGACAGAGCAAGGTTGTGTTCCTGGGAACTAAGACAAGGTAGTTTTGCTCTGTCATGGGAGGTTCTAAGAAGACTGGGGCTGGGAGAAGACTTGAGTGGGTACATCTATTGCAGGATGCCTGCCACTAATAAGAGGCACCCATGAGGGTGGTTATAGACTAAATGGAAGAGGCATTTCTAGCAGAACTCTGAGGAAATAGTGCCACTGGCCATGTTGGAAGATACTGGCTCAAATACTGGCTTTTTCCAGGCAAAGGAAATCTGATCAGTCTAAAACATTCAGTCTGAAGTTCAGTCAATTTGTATTGAAGCACTCCTATATATGTTTGTGGTCCTCATGCCAGTCACTTGCTAACAGTACTCTGCCTTCTGAGGACTTGCTTGCATCCATTATTAGTCAACTTCTGAATGACACAAAACACATCTTGTCAGTGATCAGAAGTGCCACCTCCACAGTGCTTGTGCTCTGTGCCTTATTGGAGTGAGTGGGATGATGACTGACTCTGTCTCCTGCTGTGCAGGGTATCCGATAGCACTAGTTTGAGGCCAGGATACTAGCCTGAGTTGTTGTTGGGGGGGGGGGGGGTGGGGGTTTTTTTTGGGTTGGGGTGATGCGAGGGTTCCACCCTCTCCCTGCTTCTAAAACCTTGATAGGTTTTGCTGAGGGCATTACTTGGAGTGGTTTATGATCTCTTGCGTCAATTACTGATGTCTGCTTTCTTTTGGACACTGGAGAAGTGGGGTGGGGAGAGAAGATACTGGAATGGCACCTGATTCAAAAGGTATTAACTGTCCCCTCATTGTGGCACAGATCTTCCAGTTTTGCTGTATTTTCATATTTTATATTATTGGATCAATTTGAAATTTGTACATAGAAAACCTAGTCACCGTAGTACCAAACACTAATAGGTTTAGGTGTCGTAGTTTACAGCAGAATTGGGCAGAGGCAGTTTTGTCTCAACCTGTACGTTGCCGTTTTCTCTCTGCAGAAGCTGCTGTCTGATGAGAGGTTTGTATCCGTGGAAACAGACTCAGATGAGAAACAGTTGCTTAATCAGATGCTGAATGCTGTCAAAGTGACTCCTTCGCTCAATGAAGACCTGCAGGTTGAAGTGATGAAGGTTAGTGTTTCACACACGTCAGTGCTTGCAGCGGAGGCTGCATGACTGAATGCTGGGGTTAGCAAACAAATTAGCTGTTGCCTTGGAAATCTTGACCTTAAGACAGTATTTGATTCCCTCCTTCCTGCTGGCAGATGTCAGTTGTTTTCATTTCTACTTGGTTTGTGTTGCCCTGGGTTAAATAGGAGATAGTTTATATTAAGAGTCAGTGCACTGGTGGTCCCAGTTTTAGCAACCTGAAACAGGACAATCAATTCACTCCATGGAAGTTCACAGATAAAAATGATTTGTAGATTTGGAAGTTTGTGTTTGATATTGAGCTTTAGTGCTCGTGACATGGGCTGTGCAGGTTTGTAATTTTGAATTGTGTGTGCATAGGTGCTTTCTAGTTTATTAGCTATATGTTGTCTTTGTAAAATGCTAATGATGGAACATGATTTGTTTAGGCACCAAAATGTTCCTGGGCTCATGCATAAGGGAAATTATTGTTTTGTCTACTCAGCAAAAACTTCCATTTCTAGAAATGCTTTAGCATTCTCCTGTGTGTGTAAGGAAGCTCAGCTGCCGGGAGGTGCTATCAAATTTCCTTGCCCTGTCATTGTGTTGGTTGTATGACTTGCCAGTACTGCCATAAAAAAGCGACTTCTAATATCTGTATTATTTGTGTGAAGCAACATGGTAGTGGATAGTTCTCAGATGTTTGGGTGTAAACTTTGTACTACAGGGTTTGTTGTGCTATAGCTGATCATTGGTCGAAACTATTTTGGAACAAACCTGGTGGTCTTTTTTGCATGTTCACTATACCTAGTAGTACTGATTGGTATATTTGCATCTAGTACTTGACTGTCCTTTACTTCTAAGTGCATGGATTAGGTATTGTATTTCTTACATGTGACATCCTTGTTCTAATGCATGTATGTTATCCACTCTGAAACTGCTCTGTACTAGCTGTACTCTTTGCCACTGACGATGACTACCTGGGTGCAATATGCAGTGTCAGAACGTGCAGGAGGGTAAGCCTAGCAACAGAAAAAAGGGAGGAGTATTTGCATGCACTGTTACCTGTTTTATGGGAGCAGGCTTCTGCCCACATACAGGCGTAACTGGTGACATCCAGGTCTGCATTCCTAACCCAGAATGCCTCTTTCCTGCCTCTTTTGTCTCTGCAATGGGAAGGAGGAAGAGTTAAGTAACACTACTGAACCAGCAGGGCTCTCTTGGTATGCAGTAATTTTTTTGCAAGTCACTTTTTTACCTTCTTGGGTGTTGCAGATTCAGAATCTGCATGCGCACTGTTTCTGTGAAAGCTATAACATGCATCTGTGATGCATTGTCCCCAGCTGAGAAGAATGTGAGCACTGTATTTTACTACAGTTATGAGTGAATATCTTCTCAAGTTGTCTTGATACATGAGAAGAAAAAAAAAAACCCAACCCCAGAACACCAAACCACATAAAACCCAAGCCAAAACCTAAGATTTTATGTATGTACACTAAAAAAAAAAAAAAAAAAAAAAAAAAAATTCACCCCCATTTTAAACAAAAAAGAGAAAGGGGAACATCGTCTTTGTTCATTCCACTGAGTGAAATTTTGATGTACAAATCCTTTTCTGGCTAGAAGCACAGCAAAATGCATGTGTGATAAAAATCAGGCTACATCTTTACATCCTGAGAACAAAGCAAAACTTCTATTTTGATTTAAATATTTCAATAGACTAGAGGACCAAAACATGCTGTAATCAGGGCAGTTGAAACTCAGAGGCATTAAATCTGTGCCTTGCTTAAAAGTCAAATCAAGTAGAGATCTTTTTACATTGTAACTTGAAGGTTACAGATGCCATTGCAACACTTGAAAATGTTGTAGCTAACCCAGGCCTGACTGAATGGCTAAAGCCTTCAGGGGTTTTTCAAGCAGCTGGTCTCAGCAATGTGTTTACATCCCTGGATCTGCTAAAATGTGTCCTCAAGGCAGCATATGATTGTACATTAGACTGTGTTATATCATCCAGAGGAGATTAAATACATCTTTATCCAGTGCAGATATTAGACGTTCCTGAGAGTGAGCAGGTTTGCATGAAACTGGGTCAGCAGTGATACTGGACTGGTTCTTTGTGACTTGCTGCACAGTTGCACTAGTCTCGAAGGTATTAAGAATGCAACCATCAAAGATTACACAAAAGCTTTTAGTCATGTAAAATAGATGTGAAAATAGAGGTGCAGGAGTACAGACTTCACTGTAAGTTGCAGGCATGTAAACTCCTAAATCACTTAAATGTGTTTGGTTTGTTTTGTTTAAATCCTATCCAGAATATCTCCTGTTGTTCCCAATAAGTGTACACCAGAAATTCACACTTCACGTATTATCCAAAACAAATGTTTTGAATATTTATTTTGATGTTTGTTGTCATCCACCTGTATTGCAGATGCAAGTGTGAAGGGATTTGATTAGCTGAGGAGAGCATTCTGTAAAGCTTTTTACGCTCGGGTGCCTGCAAGTTGGAATTGGCACTGAAAGGAAGAACACAGGAGAGTGTCATAAGTGCAGTTTATGCAAGTGCCTTGCTTGATACGCCTTTGGAACCTGTCAATATTATTGTGAAGGGACAGCATTAGACAGGAATGGAATAGAGTAACTGTAATGGTTGCTGTAAAAAAAATGGAGAGGAGTGCTAGCTGGACCTCTTCTGGCACTGAAAAAAACCAAGCAGTTGGGGCCACTGTTGTAAAAGTGGAACGGCACTCACTAATTTATGGCTGGGTACCAAATCCTCCTTATTTTTAAGGGTGGTTGTTGTGGCATGCTCTACAGATTCCCAGGTTGGACCATCATAAAAACAGCCTGCTGACAGTGTTCAGACTTAAGGGCCAGGGCTGGGGACTGTGCTGGAGTGCATCCTAGGCAGCCGGGGAAGATTTATACTGCCCAAATGCAGCTGTAAAGATGAACTCAAAGCCTTCCTCTCTCACAATACCTCTCTCCTCTGTGCTAGGTGAGGTACCTCTTATCCTTTTCATAAACTTTGATTTAAAGTGGAATTTTACTTGTTGTAATAAGCAAATATTAAACTAAACTCCAGGCTAGGGATTGCTGCCAGTATCTCTAGTTCTTCTGAACAGTTGTGGATTACACCTTTCTCTTAGATGTTTCATGTAGAGTGATTATGTGGGGAAATTCCTCCCTTGAGTTTCCAGAGTAGACTCTGAAGTCCTTGTTTATCCTTTTGCAGGACACCCTTATTATTACTAAGCACTGGGTAATTCTTACATCAACAGCAGTTTTGTGCCCAAAAGAAGGCAGTGGACTTTTCGGTGAGGAAGGGGAAAAGACTATGGTTTCTCTGTGACGTGAATGGGCACCTATAACAAACACAGGTGTACTAACATTTGATTTCCCACATAGTAGAGCAAGCTGTCTGGGGTGTATAAATTTTGCATTTAGACTTGCATGTTATTTAACTGCTGAGCCTAGTATTTCTTTAGAATATCTCAATGATTGTGCTGTCTGTTTATTCTCTGTACCTCTGATACATTTTTATGACAGAGGTTTATTAGTATTTTTACACTGGGGACTGAACTGAGGTTATTTAGGTACTTTAAATCATATTAAAAGATACTGAGAAACCAGGTAATCCGGAAAGTGTGACTAGAGGGAGCAGTGTATCTGACACAAGGCCACTTTAGCATTTACCTTTGCTGTTGCCATGATACTTTGCTATCACACTGAAAAGCCTTCTAATACATATATTATCACTTTGTGGTTTTCCTATGCTCAGTTGGCTGTATCAAGGAAATGGAAAATCACACAATCATATAGTGCCTTGATTGTCAATCTTCTTGTAATACATCAATAGCTTAATTGCCATTTCAGATGAAATAATCTAAATATTTTTACTTGTATATTTTCTTTACAATGTTCATGTGAGTTGGGAAGGAAGAGCTATATTGATCACTAATCAAATTCAGTGCTTTATCAGTGAGGCACCAAAGTGACTCACTGCTCTATTTATACAGTTGCAGATGCACAGAAAAAATAGGGGGCAGTGATTCAACACTTACCTTAGATGAACACAGTCATGCAATATGGCTCGCCCAGAAGTGGGAAGAATTTTGCTGTGTGACATGGGCCCATGTTATAATTGAATGAAATGCAAGAGTGTATCTCATGTTGAGGAGTAGGGACATTTTGTTGACGTTAAGCACTAGACTAACAAGCAAATAGATAGTCTGCAGCAGAAAGGGGACATGTTCTGGATTGAAGATGAGTATCAGGGGTTTGGATTTGGTTGTGGAGTAGGGGGATCCTGATTTTTCTTTTTTCTTTTTTCTTGGTTTGATGCTTTTAAATTCTGGCTTCAGATGTTTTTAAAATGGCTGAAATACTTCTGCTTCATGCAATTAGACCTTTGCTTGCAGGAACACATATAGTATTAACAAAAGCACTATCAGATATGGTCATATCAGCAGTGGAAAAGGAAGTTAATCTGTAGCTGAGCCTCTGGATTGAGGTCCCCTCCAGCCTCAATGATTTTTTTTTTCTTTTCTTTCTGTCTTTGATTTTTTGCTAATTTTTCATCTGTAACCTTGACCCTAAAATCCAGTTCCTCCAGGAAAGGCTCCTGGAAGAACTGGAATTCGGCTTTGAACATAACTGTGGTGTCAAAGCAGGTGAAACCAAATACAAAGAAAGTGGGTAGGGTGGAAAGAATCCAAAACAGCAAGATTAGTTTGTTTTGGTTTTGTTGTTTGTTTTGGTTTTTTTCCTTCTCACTAATGTTATGGTGACTTTCATTTATAAGTTGACAACCTTCTTAATAATACAGTACCTCTCTATCTAACTGTGATAACATTATTCTCAAACTTAAAAAAAAAGGGGGGTGTTAATGAATAATTGCAAATTACTAGGTGAGTCCTCACTCAGAAGTAAGCTCTCCAGATAAACTGGATACACTGTAGTGTAATGGGTACTGACAGTAAACAAGTTGTTTTTAAAAGGCATGATTC